AGGTAGATACAATACACGATAACCTAGAGAACATACTATAAAGAGAAACAGGGAGGTAGATACAATACACGATAACATAGAGACATACTATAAAGAGAAATAGGGAGGAAGATACAATACAACCGAGACATACTATACACTATAACAGAAAGAACATACTAATTGTTGTAGCAGAAGAACAATTCAGGATCTAATTATACCAATAATCACTAACTCATTGTTCTAAAAAAAAGGTGATAGTAAATTGGGTATACATGATCAGATAACTTTAATGTGAATTAACACGGCCTATCAATTTGTTTGCGGAAGTCGCGTTTGGTCCCCAGAATCTCTTGCAGGGAGAGCGTATAGTATGGGTACTACTCATCACATTATGACCTTAATAAAACAAACATGTTTTAAGGTAATCAGTACTTCAGAATGTCAATTCAAAAGACAACTATGTACTTACATTTTCCCATTACATTCATATTGTGACAGTTGCACTTGAAAGTTAATGCAAACTATTTTCGAGTGAAGATAGTTATAAACTAGGGAAAACTTACAACTTTTCAAACTACAACAGAACAGTTGAGTCTAGTACATTCAGTAGAAAGGGGCCTATAATCCTAACTTTATGATTCCTTAGTGTATGCATTTAGGGATATATATTAATCGGATCCGACAGGTAGTAGGATGTGTGCTTTCCGCTTCATTTCCTGTTCCTTGTTTGGTTGTGGGCTTAGAGCAGATTCACCCAGCCTACTATCTATCCGATCTTAGCTATATATATGTTCCGTATACACCAAGTAAGCATAAGGGGTACCAGGTATGGGCCAGGTCATAGGACACTAATTCAATGCACCATTTTCTAGTACAAAACATACTTTTCAAATAGAACATTTGGTAGTCAAAACTAGAAACATACCAGTAAAGGTTTAATCCATTTTATTAAACCAGTATAACTTAAAGGACCTAAGGTGGTTAATTCTATAATACCTTAGTTTATACACCAGGGTTATATATAATTAATATCCGATAGGTAGTTGGATGTGTGCTTTCTGCCTTACTTCCTGTTCCTTGTTTGGTTGTGGGCTTAGGGCAGATTCACACAACTAACTATTTGTTCGATATTAGATTATATATAGCTAGTAAAACTAAGTGATTATAGAAGGAACTATTGTGGTTACCATTTTTACTAAAAGAAATAAGGGTTTTCTTAAAGAATCTTTTCATAAAATACATAGGAACTATTACAGTTAACTCCGTGAGTACCAAGTGAATACACCAGGGTTATATACAACGATGATCTAACAAACAATGGGATGTGTGCCTTCCGCCTCATTTCCTGTTCCTTGTTTGGTTGTGGGCTTAGGGCAGATACACACAACCGATTGTTTGTTTACTCTGGGTTCTATATATAACGTGTATCCATTTAGTACTCATAGAAAGGATTGTAGAGTCATTTTTACTTATCTTTCATCAAAGCAGGAAATACAGGATTTTCTGGAGGAATAGGAAAACTTTTCCAAAAGAACTTACAACTTATTACAACTTTCTACAACTTACTTACATCACTAAAATCTTATGAACTCACCAGATTAAATGCTGATCTACTCTTTCAAAATAACTTGTATTCTCAGGAGACCAGTAGAGAGGTACGCGCACTGGGATTCAGAAGAAGCAGCAGTATATCTTCATGTCTTGTTTTGTTATTTACTTTTTTGTCTATGTTATGTGAACCACATACTTTTTAAACACTTTCTTTCTAATGAAATGGTTGTTTATTACTTTGATTACTATGATGCATGACTTGTGATACTAAACATGATGTCCTCCACCCCCGAACGTTTCCGCCGTTCCAGTTTTGGGGTGTGACAACATTCATTTGGGATTATCTGATAGAACTCAATATTCATTTGAGATTGGAGATCTTCACGGTGAATGTCATATGGGTTGTATGTATTCATATAAGCTAGCCTAAGAACTCTTGATCAAGGATTACTTGCATGTTCCTTTTTGGTTGTGGCTTTAGAGTAGGATCATATGTTCGACTGTGTATCTTATCTCTAATTACATACAAGTATGCATTCATTTGGTGATCTACCAGTTGTAGTGGACAGTATCGTATAAGCCCTTTGTACGCAGTAGTGAACTGTTAGAAAAGTAGACTATGTAACGGACATGTTTGTCGCTATTCATTTATTAGAAAATATATATTTGCGTTAGTTGAAAAATATAAACCTTTGGTGAATAAATGAATATAAATTATTCAAACATAATGTGTGTTTATATAATGGTTATTTATATACACATTATGTATGAAGTTGGGAATATATTATGTGTATATAATACTGTATAAAAGCTTTATTTTAAAACTTAACAAATAGGGCTAAGTAAAAGTATTAAAATTAAAGACTGTTTAGGGTATATAATATAAACAAAAGTCGTGGTAATCATTATTATGCACCCTTGTATATATAGAACGCCTAAATATAAAGAACACCTAAATCTGGCTTCATATGAAAAATTATGATTTTTTGAACTTTCGCGTTCAACCTGACAAATCAATCTGTATTATAAAATATGAAACAAAGATCGCTTGCTTTTTAGACAAAACAATATAAAAGAAAGTTGATTTCCTCATAAGTATGAATCTGTTGATATAAAGAATGTAGAGAACTGAGCTCGTATAAAGAAGTTAGGAATTTCGCAAAGTATTTTACAGTGTAACCTTCACACACTGTAAAAAAAATAGAATGTGAATTAGCTTATGAAGTCTAAATCAAAATTGTAGTGCTCATCGATATGAAACCGAGGTTAAAAAGAACGTTGAAAACGGAGCTCGTATGTGAAAATTATGATTTTTGGAGGATTATAAGACTTTTACCTTCAAGGCACATGTAGCTCCATAGAATCGCGACACGTAGCAGAACCAACGACCACATTCCTTACCAAACTAGGAAACACATGGTACCAGCCAACAAATGACACCTAAGGCGTCGCACGACCTTAGACAAGCGTGGCACGCCTCCCAACCCCTATAAATATGAGTTGATTTCTTGCTCATTTCTTACACGTTATCTATCCAAACATTTTTTATCAAAAAAAAAATTTCTATCCAAACTATATCAAACTTTTCCCGCACCCCGAGGTCAGAATTTTGGAGTATTAAAGTATTAGTATCGAAGCTCTGAAGCATCAGAGAGCCTGGGGAAATAGAACTTTCGGTGTCAAAGTTCTGCCTGTGAGGTTTCTGGTTTTTCGCTAGAAAGCCTGTAAGCTGGGAAGCATCGAGGTATTACTAAAATATCCTAACACTCACTGATCATCAGTCGATTCACTCTATCCAATCGAATAACTCTGCGACCTCGCCTCACCTCACCTTGCAGACAACGTCTCCTCCAACGACGTTAGGTTTCTTCTCCTCCGGCTGATTTCGCCTCGCCGACGACCTTAGGCTCACCTGACATCGTTGGTGACTACTCAAATTTATGTTCCCTAGGTTCGATTAAGGTGTTCCTGTTGAAACGATTCAGGAAAAGTTAACTTCCCCGGTTGGCCAGAGAACCAAGTAACAGAAGAGAAATGAGTAGAAGAAAGACGACACGAGGGGAAGAAGCGCCTGGTAACCATGAATCTGATGCTAAATTGAACACATTTAAGGGTTTCTCACCTACTGAAGCTTCTCAAGTTGAACACAAGGTAAAATCTCAATCTTCTAAAGTTACATGTAATGTTTATATCCCCTTCTTTCATCTTGCGAACATTTGTTCTGCTTTTTCTTCATCATTTCTACCTTACCTACATGTCCATCCACTAGGGTGATATGAAGAACATTAGGTGAAAAGATCTTTAAATGGATTTGCTTTTCAGAGACGCCCTTGTTTCCTCCTGCTTCTCTATCTTTCTTAAGCTAGAATATCCAGAGAGAAAAAGAAAGTTGTGATTAAGTCTTGCTTCATTGGGAATTGTTTTTTTTTATAAAAGCTCATAAAGGAGAAGCATCATTAAGTAAGAGATCAAGAATCAATCCATTGGGACCCAGGAACAACAAAAAAAGCACATGATGAGGTAACAATGGCAGTCATAGACCAAATATTCAATTTGCGGACTTTTTAAGTAAAAATTTGAGTTTAAAATAGATGCAATTTTTTTCCACACGGCAAGAAATGATGTACAATTTGATCTTCTGGTGTTACAAAAAAAAATTCCACCAATAGCCAGAGTCTAATATCCAAAATGTCCTATAAAAGATCAATTGATCATTACAACTAACATGAAAATCATGGTCAAAATAAACAACTATGAACTCAACCAAATAAGTTACTCTACTTATTTGTTCAAAATAAACAACTATGCATATGAGTGTCCTCATGATGTGGCATATACAACCAGAGCTCTTGCTGAATATCACCACAACCTTGTTGGCTACCAATCTTGTCAAGATGACCATTTTTATTAATGAAGAACAAAGATTATGATTGTAATGGAAGTAACTGAACACGGAAGAATGATAATGAAGAAGATGATATAATACTTAGAAGATAAACACAATTAATTGATTGTTCCAGGGGTAACCCCTCTCTCACAGCCACATGTCTTAGAGCCAATACAAACTTTATCAAAATATCAAAAGTCTAGACAACTAACAAATGAAATCATCTTCCCTATTTATTACTCTCTCTCTCTCTCTCTAACAGATTTTAGCCATATTCCTGATTTACCCTTTTACTTCTTCTAGATTATGCCTATATCAGCTTTGGTTCATTTGCCTTTTTAATTACCATATTATGATATGCATCAGTTATAATTATAAAATAGGCTCCTCCTACATTTCCATTCTCTCCCTCGACTTATGAACCACGGTTCTAATCTGTTTATGCAGCAAACTACAATCACATTTCACCATTTATACTAAAATACCACAACTCCAAAGGATTAAAGAGAATAATATTATAAAGATAAGACATATTTTAGAAATGAAAATCATAAATCATAATGACACCACACTATTTGATTTAGTGAAGATCAATACAAGAAGCATCAAGTGCATACCTCAGGTGTAAAGCAACATAGTGTTTGCCCATCATCCTCATTTGGTTGACCAAATTTTGACCCATTTTATTTATGGGATCAATGAACCTTAAATCATGACAATTTACTCTACATCTAAGCTTTTGCAAATCAGTCTCCAACTTGTTAGAAAGCCTGTAATCAAATTTGCTCAGTTGAACAACCTGCACAAAAAAAGAAATCATAGATTTATTTAAACTTAAATACAAAACTATAAAAATCATGAATAGCCAGCCCAAGCTTTCTAGAGTTATTTTCAGTAACTGAGGGCATCACGTCTTTTGCACACAAAGTAGTGAAGAACACCCATGATGGCATTATAGCAAATATGAATAGCATATTTCTCAATTCTCACATACTAATATTGCAAATATAAAATATTTCAAGGTTTTCGGGTTGTCCATAAACAATCTGTTTGTTCAAGTATTCATTTTTTGTATACCCAGTGGTGAATGCGGTCTTACAAAAACATACATATGCTACAAAATTTTCATAACAAAAAGTGTCAATGAATATCATTCTGAAATATAAACCTAGTAACAATCAGATAAAAATATAATGCAGTTAAGGCATCATGTGGGTAACATTTAGGGGTCACCACAAATGGAGTGCCAATTGTCAAACTTGAGATATTAACCATAAAGTATCAAACAACCCCAAAAGAGAAGTTACATTGTCATCAGAACTAATGCAAGACATTATCTGCTTATAAAATACACAATGCAAAATTAGAGATGATATAACTTACATGTGTCTTCAAAGGCACAGGGAGTACACGAATCTGATAGCATCTCTCATTACACTTTCTAGGAACACGCATATTATATGGAGTCCAAATCTTGCCTCCCTTCTTTGGAAGTTCTTTTATCATTTTCACATCTCTAGATAGATGTGATATAAACCACTCAACATCAAAGATCTATTAAAAAGTACTGTAAAAGAGAAGGGTATTATATATCAAACTTTCAGGCCAAACTTTATTATGAACCCTTAAATAAATACCACAAATCCAAAGGCTTAAAGAGAATAATATTATGATGATAGGAAAATACCACAATCCCTTAAATTTGGTACATTTAGAAAACCAACTGAAAAGCCATATTGCAAATTTATGATACACAGACTAAAACACACCATTTATATCACACAAACACATTCTATAATGTCCACGCCACACAGATGTTGATTCATTCTGACCCACTAGATAACTCTTCTTCATCGGTGCTATAATCATTATAATATTCATCTTCATATTCTTCCTTTTCATTTTCACACAAACACATTCTATACTTGAGTCCCCTCTTGTTTCTATTTGCCTTCAACTGTTCTTGTATTCTGTCTCGGATGGCTGTCTATGATGGCTGTTCCCTGAAAGATTTATTAAATATATTCACATTAGAATAGAAAAAAGGGGTTATCACTGGATCTCAACCGTAAATATATAAGAAAGTATGGAAGAGAAAGTGAAGAAAAGAAACCATTTAGTGGCAACCCTCTTCAAACATTTCAAGGGTAAAACTGTAAAAAAAGGGTACTCTTGAAAGATTAAAATAGTTACCTCATCTAAGAAAGAAAAGAATCTTCTGACCTTGTTTTGAAGATCTTGTTTCTCAAAAACCGAAAGATCACCGAGGAAGTAGTTGTGGATTCATGAGGGGTAAATTTAGAATATTTGTTATCGTCTACACGAAGTGTATGTAGATTGCTAAGTTTGTTAATCTTTAGCTGTCTTATGTAAACCTACATCACATATATAAATTATAAAGAATAAATCAAAAAAACAAATCTTCATAACTAAATATTAATTGCAAAGTAGAGCATACCAGTTCTTGCTCTACATCAAAACATTGCAAATAAATTTTCAAGAACACAAGTATCAATACCAAAATGGCCATAATGCCACTTACCTACCCATACAATCTGTTTGCATATTTTGGCCCCTATAAAGTTTTTTTTGCATAGTTTTGGTCCCTACATCCGTTTTGTCCGTGTACAATTTTGGTCCCTGTATCAGTTTTGGCCCCTGTACAGTTTTTTTGGTCCCTGTATAGTTTTGACCCCTGGACAGTTTTGTTTTCATATAGTTTTGTCCCTGCATCATTTTTACCTGTACAGTTTTGGTCCCTTCATTAGTTTTGGCCCCTATACAGTTTTTTTTGTCCCTGTACAGTTTTTTCCCTATACATACGTAATCATTGTTGCTTTAAGTGGTAAATAATTATGTAGGTTGGAAACAAATGTTTAATGGATAAATCATGGATTTCCTCTAGTAGATTATCAAATGCATATGATGAAGGTGTGAATGCTTTTCTAGAGTTTGCACGAAGTAATAATCCAAAGTTAGATGTTATTCCATGCCCTTGTGTAAATTGTATCAATTTGTGTCACCACTCAATTGATAATGTCCGTTATCACTTGTTTTCCCACGGCTTCGATGAAAATTATAAGATTTGGATTTTCCATGGAGAAAAACAACCCACGATTGATTCTAGATGCCCTAACAATTCCATTCATCCTGATGTTATTTATACAAAGGATATGCTACATGATGCCTTCAAATATGTAGACAAAGAACCTGATTCATTGAAATCACTTCTTGAAGAATGTGATAATCCACTTTATGTAGGGTCAAAGTATAATGCACTTAGTGGATTATTGAAATTCCAACATTTGAAGGGTCAGTTTGGATGGTCTGATGCTAGTTTTGATGCTTTGTCGTGTGTCCTAAAAGATATCTTACCATCAAACAACACCATCTCTACAGTATGAGAAGATTCATGCATGTGAAAATGATTGTGTTCTATTCTGGAAAGAACATAAGGATGCTTCTCAATGTCCAACTTGTGGCACATCTCATAGGAAGAAGAATACCAAAAACGTACCTTTAAAAGTTTTTGTGGTATTTTTGTTGGATTTTGTGTCTAAGCCCATAACTATAATTAGTATGTACTTGATTTGATAGTAGCATGGTCCTTTTGGGTTGGCTTCACCTTAGCAACTTGACATGATGGCTTTTAGAGAAAGAGGTTGGATTTATTATTTGGAATAATAAATTAATTTATTAATGTGTTATGAAAATAATGTTCTAATTAGAAATCATGTTATTTAATTAGAAATCATGTTATGAAAATAATATTCTAATTAGAAATCATGTTATTTAAATTAATTTATTAATTTGGAATTAATTTCAGGATTAAAGGAACTGATTAAAGGAACGGGGGCTGTTTTGCAAATCATTGATAGTTGTGAAACGGGGCTGATGTACTCCTTAATTAGGAGTGGACAGAATCCTATAGGGAGGCCCTATAGATTTCGTCCAAGGCTTCTTAGTGGGAGGTCCATGGGTTGCTTAAGCCTTAAGCAGGAAATTACGGTTTCCTCCAGAAACCCTAGCAACCCTTAGCTATATAAGGAAGCCCTAGGCTTAGGATTTTCGGCCAATACTTGCATCCAGAGATCCTATCCGAATTTCTAAGTGCTTCTCCCCTCTCTCCTCTCATCCTTTTTCTAGTATTGTTTGTAAGCCATTATAGGTGGAACATTTGAGGGACTAAGCTTTCAAGAGTCAAGTATCTACAAGGAGTTCTTGTTATTACTACATAACAAGTAAGGTAATCTTCGAAACCCTTTTGATTTGTAATTTTCGAAATTATATATGCTAGATCTAGTGTTTTACTTTGGTATTCAATTTGCATGTTGAATAGTGAAAAACTTAGATCCAAAAAAATTAGGTTTGCAAGAACACATAGGTTGTTGTTATGCTCAAAACCCATCAGTGGTATCAGAGACTAGGATGTTTTTCAGTTATATTTGATGCATATGTGAATTAGCCAAAGGAGAAGGGAACAGATTCGTCAATCTGTTCATCAGACTCGACGAGTTCCTCATGGGACTCGACGAGTTGAGCCTACTCGGCGAGTTCATTGCAATAGCTCTATGAGTCGGGCTGTCAGATCCTTGATTTTTCGATTTTGATATCTTTGTTTGATTAGGATAATTACCAAATTCGTTTTAAACGTCTAAAATTGAATTTTATGGAAAGGTAAATCTATACCCTTATCAAATTAATAGATTTGGTAAAATTTTAAGATAAAGACAAAATTATTTGATTAACTGAATTATTTAAAATTTGATCTAGTATTTTTGAAAAGTTTTAAAAATACCCCTTTGATTTTGGAATTTAAAATTTGATTAAAAGTTAAATTTTAAAACGTTAAATTCTAAAACCCTAGTATTTTAAAAGTTTAAAATACACCCTTATACTATTATAAAATTAAAAGTTTAATTTATGTATATGTATATGAAAAAGTCAGTCTTACCGTTAGTAGGCCTCATTCATGAAGTTGGTTGTGACAACCCGAAATTTCCATGCTTGTTTAATTAATTAAACCTATCCATGTTAGACTCATTTGGCTTGCAGTTATCACTGTTTGGAACCTGTTTTGAGTGTTCTAACCATAGTACATCAAAGGAATAAGAGATTGGAAATAGCAGCTTAAGTTCTTAACTGCCTGCACCCGTAAACCTCCTCAAAAAGGGAGTTTATGGTTAAGACCAATGAGTTTACGGTCATGGTGACCATAAACCCATCCCTATATATATGGAGGATGATCACTTCAACCATTCTTTTCCCTCTCTCAAGCCTTAGAACCGATTCTCTCTCAAAAAGCATAAGCTTTTGCTTCTAAAATCTTCAAGAACAAGTAAGTGATTCCTTCTTTTTGTGTTAGATCCTTCCTAAATCCATGTTTCACTCTTGATTCATCCAAGGGTTTCATCTTTTATCTAGATCATCAAAGATCCTCAAGAACACGGTCGTGTTTTGAACCGAAAACACCTTCTTTGCCTTCAAAACCATAAGTATCATCTTCCCTTTCATGAATCTAGTTACAATCCTTCATTTTGGACTTAAGATCATCACTCTTTACTTGAACAAAAGAGTTTACGGTCTATGAATCTTCATAGACCGTAAACCCTTATAAAGGGTGTTCATGTGGCCATTACCCTTCCTAAGGCTAAGTATGATCCCTAAAATCCGATGCCTTTGAACGAAACCCTTGAAAACCATCATTTGTGAAAGGTTTGATGAGTTTACGGTTGAATCTCCTTAGACCGTGAACTCGATGACAGTAAGGTCATTAGACCGTAAACCTTATGACCGTAAGGTCATAGGACCGTAAACACATAGGACCGTAAACCCATTTGAACCGTGAACTCAATGGACCGTGAACCCAAGAACCGTGAACACTTGGACCGTGAACTCTATAGGGTGGCCATACACCCTTGGTATGCAATCCCATGTGGTTGTAGCACTTAAATATAAGTGTATCCTATGTTCTAGGGTGTTTCCTTGTTTAGTTAGTTGTTTAATCACTAATTAGATACGTATATGTGTCATTATATGTTAAATAGGATCCGTGTGTGCTCAAGTCCTCACTTGACACTTAGCATCCTATCCAACACTTCCATCCAAACCACTCACTACAGGTGAGTCCATACCCCTTAATCAACCTTTAAAATGATTTTAAATGCTTTTATTGGGGGGGGGGGGAATACAAGTTCAAACATTCTAGTTATTATATTAATCACATGTGATTCATAACTAGAACAGTCAAAAAGATTTTCTATTACTTTCAAATAGTTATCACACTTATGGATTTCAAATTCTTCAAAACATTTTATTAAACTCTTTTAAATGCTAAACCCTTTATCAAACTCTTTTTAAATTTATATTATTGTCAAACTCATGTCTATACAGATATATTTATATAAGTAAGATTTGAAGGACTTAGGACTGATAACTCACTTTATTTCATGTTCCTTGTTTGGTTGTGGAAATAGAGTACCCTGTTATTTGTCCGAATGTCGTTG